CCCTCGGGCAGGACGTGCAGGCAGCGTATCCATCACCCCGTGGAAATGCCCACCCATTGATGGCATTGATCCATCTCCAGGCGTCCCCGTGGAAATAATCAGAGCTGATGGCCATTGATCATGCCCAACACCCGAAATCCCGCTCGGGCAGGCAGAGCTAATTTGCCTTGCCCCCCTGCTGCTCACATGTATTAGGCCATCCATCCTAAAGCATTAACCCAGATCCCAGCCTGTGGAGCCCTGATACAGGGAAGCGTCTCTGCTTCCCACATAACAACAGCACTTTCCACTTCATCTCCTCCTCCAGAGAAAGAGCAAATAAGGTAAACCCAAAGAATCATAATTGCAGTGTGTAAAAGAAACAGTCAGAAAGGAATAACTGCTGAAAAACTGATACTGGGATAACAAAAAAGAGCTGAGTGACCTCATGGCAGAGCCAGGATTTATTTCTTCCATGAGTGTGTGAGTGGCTGCACATTTTAATGTTCTTTAAAGGCAGTTTGGATGCTGGATTAGAGAGGTGCCAGGGGGAACCGGACACTCTGGCTTGAGTGTTAAAGACACATTGAGCCAGATCTTGAGGAGGAGAGGCTGCAGGAGAGTGCACAGAGGGCCATGGTGGGCAGCAAGAGCCTGGCTGAGGGCAAATCTCCTCCCAAGAGCTTAGGGACATTTCTGGAGTGGAAAAGGAGCCTGCTGCTCCTCTGGGTCCAGGCTGGAGGTGCTGTCATGGAGCACTTGCCCAAGAGAGGTCGAGTGCTTGGTGTACCTGGTGAGGACTCCCAAGGGAGCTGTTTCTACCTGGCGCTCCCTGGGCTCTGCAGGAACATCCTCCCCATCTCTATGAGTGGGTCAGTGTAAGAAAAAAAAATTCATTAGCACTCAAGACCCCATCCATATTGACTCTTTTAAATAATTAGACCTCAGGAAGGCAGAGGGGAGAAAACAAATTAAGCCAAGACAGCAAATATTCAGGAAAAAGCGTGTTTGGGGCAGAGGGGAGCAAACCAGTTTGTGTGTGCTGAGTGATGGCAGTGCAGCAGCACCTTCCTCTGGGTGAAACATCCCCTGGTTCCATCGTGCTTACAAGCAGGAGGAAATTATATCCATCAAACAGACACAGCACCACTCCTATTTACTATGAGCTGGGAAGCAGGAACCAAAACATCAGCAGCCACTTGAAATCAAACTGTATATTTCTTCCTTCCTTTCTTTCCTTCATTCTTTTCTTTCTTTTCTTTTCATGGAAATCAGCCTTTCACTCAGCACAACCAACTGCCCTGGGTAACAACCTCGGCCTAATGAAGCGGGTCATTTAATTTGCTGGCGACAATGGGGATGATTTTCTATTCAGGATCCCAAGGCAGCTGGGCAGGGACACAATGGATTCCTGAGCTCAGAGGGAGGCAGAGCTGTCATTCCATTTGTTTGCATCCCCGTGTGCTTTTCTCAGAGGCAGCATCATCATTTCCATGGTGGAGAGGAGTAGGAGGGGAGGAAATGATCGAGTCAGGCAGGGGCACCTCACACGTCTGGGCACCTTTTCCATGGCTCTGAGGGTGGCTGCTCCACCCCTGAGCTCCACCTGCAAAACCTCAGAGCAGTTGGACATCTCCTTGGTGTCTCACTCATTTCCTGGAGCAGGGAAGGACTTGGATGTGGGGCATTTTCTTCTTTACAGGCGACATGACCCGGACCTGAGCTTGGGCATGGTTGGAAGCACCTGAGCTGTGCCTTAGGTGGGCACATGGGGCTGCAGGGCAGCTGGGAAATTCTGGGCAGCTTTATTCAGCTTTTTTTGTGTTTAGACTCTGTGA